TCAGGGAATAGTTCCTTGGTGTATATAAATTATAGTAATAAACCTTTTTTAAAATTTAGAAAATAGTTTTGACATAGTATTTACATTTATGTTGATGGTCCTCATTATCCTTCAGTCTTATCGTATGCAGTTTTGTATATTTATGGATATTTCTGCAGAAAAGTGTTTGTATATCCGGATTTTTGGTATGTGGTTTTGGTCTCTGTGCCATTTTGAACTTACTTAAGGTTCCGCTTACACAAGTCATTAAAGGGCCTTGGTTTCCCACCCCAGCCCAGCTACTCTACTCCATCCCTACATCTACACCAATAGTGCCATCCCAGGCCCCAATCATTTACAAGTAATTTCTATATATGCCCATTTCAACCAGTGACTCTGTGTGATGTACCGTGTTTCCCCGAAAATAAGACCCTGTCTTACATTTTTTTAAACCCTGAAATAAGCGCTTGGCCTTATTTTCGGGGAGGTCTTATTATTTTGGGGCGCGTGAAGCAAGATGGAATTCCTCTTGCCATCTTACCTGATTTCCAGCTCTGCGTTTAAATATTTTCGGGGAGGGCTTATTTTCAGGGGGAGGCTTATTTTAGCACATGCGCTCAAAAGCCGGATTGGGTTTATTATCAGGGGATGTCTTATTTTCAGGGAAACACGGTACACCGTAAAAAAATAAATAAAAACAATACAGTCTGTCTATTGATCTATTGATTGATTGATCGATTGATCGATCAATATCTATTTATCATCACTTTAGAACAGTTCATTTAGTGTCTGTTTGAAGTTATAATGGCATAGAAAAAAATGACATATGACCGGTTTTTACACAACCGTTGCAGCATCCCCGTGGTCACATGATCAAAATTCAGATACTTGGCAATTGGCTCATATTTATGCAATCACATTTTGCAGCCTAAGTCAATCAGGAACTCAGATTCACTTAACAATTGAAGTGATTCTCTTAACAGCTGTGGGAAGAAAGATTGTAAAATGGGCAAAATTCTCTGAACAGCTGTCTCACTTAGCAACAGTAATTTTGGGCTCAGTTGTGGTCCTAAATCGAGGACTACCTGTATAATAACTAGTTTAATATAGCCAATCCAGCCCTGAAAAAGTTAATTCAGCTTGTTCAGCCTATCCAGTTAATTTAGTTTATTCAGCTCTGAAATTCTGCCTAGACACCAGCTGATTGCTATTTGCAGAACCTTTTCGTCAGTTGCTATATACTGGAGGTCTTTTTATCCATGATTCCACTGACTGCTGTTGTTGGTTGGAATGGAACTCTATGAATAATGGGGGCCACCTGCATTTCTGCCACTTAATATAATTTTACTGCAGTTTTCATATTTCACTTGCACGTTGGCCAAACTCCCACTGTGAGGGAGATGGGCGCTTTTCTAAATTTGATAAACAAATTTCTTACCAATCTTAGTTCCCGTTCATCTTTCCATTTCACTATGTAACATACCCAATCTAGCCTGGAACTGGTGGCCCCAAAGCTGTTCTGTTTTGCCAGCCCCATCTAGACCCTTACAGCAGGGGTGGGTTCTAATTTTTTTTACTACCGGTTCTGTGGGCGTGGCTTATTTTGTGGGTGTGGCTCAGAGGTCATGTAACTAGGTGGGCGTGGCTAGCTGATCAGAGTCATTTCTGGAAGGTCCTCACACTTACGACCAGTCCTCGTACTTATGACCAGTCCTCGTACTTACGACCCAACTCATTTGTTTGCTTTTAACACTGATCAGCTGTAGGACGGCCCTTTGAAGCCCCTCAGCAAGAGTTTAAACAGTTTTTTTTCCTCTAGCCATTAGCTGGGACTCAGGAGGCAGCAATAGATTGGGGGTGGGACCAAATAAAAGGTAAGAATAACGTGGGGGGGGTGGGAGGGCGGGGGGGGGGAGAGAACCGGTTCGGTGACATCATATCGTCACCGCTACCGGCTCGGCCGAACCAGACCGAACTGGAAGGAACCCACCACTGCCTTACGGCCTCCAGACACTGGGATAAGTCATTCATGGCATCATTTCAATCGCCAGAGGTGGAGATACATAATTGGATATCACCATCATACTCCTGATTCGTCCCCCCATAGCAGTGGATGAGCTCATCTGGAAGCCTCATGTAAATGTTAAAAAGGAGAGGTTTGTACATTGTCTGAGATTTCAAACTTGGTTCACAGTCTTAGTTGGCAGTGCCACTAGTGTTTGTCAAACTGTGTGCAGTGATGCCCTAGGGCGCTGCAGTGACGTCAGTCACTGTTTTGTTTATTACATAGTAAGGTAATCCCACTGTGCCCCTATGGGTTTGTTGTGGTGTCACAGTTTGGGAACTACAACATTAAGCCCTGGTTTTCAGTGCTTCTGTTTCCCTTGGAACAACAGGGGACAAGTTAGTTCCTGGGGTTGCGTTTGAGGATTGCCAGAATAACATCAAGCGTCACTATTGTTAATTTACTTGCAATTTAATTGAAGGGGAGAGAGTATGTTTCCGTGGTGTAGTTTTTGTTTTGTTTTGCTTTGTTTTCTGAAATACTCATTAGTAATTAAAGATCATGGAATACAAATTAATTTTAAACAGTTCTGCCAAATATATTTTCCCTTAAGTGTTTTAGGTTTTTTTTCTTTTAGGCCTCTCTTTCGTTAATGTTGTTCTGATTTCATAGTATTTTGAATCTAAAGACAGAATTGTCAATTTAGATAGCCAGATTCTTTTTCTCGATTGCGACTTCAGACTATTTAGATCTGAAAGCAAGTATGTTTCTTCAAATGTTGCTGAAAAATAATTTGGTGAAAGATATGAGTGCTGCAAGATATTGGAGATCCTAATTCTGAAGGATAAGCGGCTTATTCGCATTCATTTTGCTATTCTCCTTTTGTACCATATTCCAGATCGGATTTTTGTTTTTATCAAATGAGTTTTGGAAAGCAATAAAGTCCTGATCTGCTTTGATGACAATGTTAAACATACTTTTTAATATGTTGCATTAATATGGAGGAGCAATGTGCAAGTCTAGGCAGGATCTGAGTCCTTTTTGTGTTATCTTACACAAAGTTCTTACATCAAGAATTTACAGCCATTCCTTTAGTGACTGTTCAAGTTACAACTGCACTGAAAAAAGTGACTTATGACCGTTTTTCACATGACTGTTGCAGCATCCCCTGGGTCACGTGATTAAAATTCAGATGCTTGGCAACTGGCATGTATTTACGATGGTTGCAGTGGGTGTGGGTGTGTTATGTGATCCCTTTTGTGACTTCCTAATGAGCAAAGACAATAGGGGAAGAAAGATTCTGTTAACAACTATGCTACTGACTTCACAACAGGAGTGATTCATTTAACAACTATGACAAGAAAGGTCGTAAAATGTGGCAAAACTCACTTAACAAATATCCTGCTTAGGAACAGAAACTTTGGGCTCAATTGGGGTCACAAATCAAGGACTACTTCTATCACTTTAAAAAAAATCTTAATACCTACACTGGCAGTACAAGGTTTAATAGTGCCCCCATAGTGGGCCCACAAATCTTATTGCTGTACAGGTAGTCCTTGACTTACAACCATAATTGAGTCCAAAATTTCTGTTGCTAAGTGAGACATTTGTTAAGTGAGTTTTGTCCTTTTTTACGACTTCTCTTGTCACAGTGGTTAAGTGAACCACTGCAGTTATTAAATTAGTTTATTTTATGTATTTTATTTATTTTATTATATTTCTATACCGCCCTTCTCCTGCGGGACTCAGGGCGGTGTACAGCCAGGATAAAACATAGCGTATAAAGTTAAAAACATTTAAAAAAACAATTAAATAATTTTGGCCCAAATTTAAAACAACCCAATTAAAACCGAATTCGATTAAAAAACTGAGAGGATGGGATCAAGCCAGCCCAGCTAGATGGAACAAGTGTGTCTTCAGGGCCCGACAAAAAGTCCGGAGGTCTGATATCGTGCGTATCTCAGGGGGCAGGTCATTCCAGAGGGCAGGTGCTGCCACAGAGAAGGCTCTCCCCCTGGGGGTCGCCAGCCGGCACTGCCTGGCCGACGGCACCCTGAAGAGGCCCTCTCTGTGTGAGCGAACCGGTCGGTGGGAGGCTATCGGCGGCAGAAGGCGGTCTCGTAAATACCCCGGCCCTAAGCCATGGAGCGCTTTAAAGGTGGTCACCAACATCTTGAAGCACACCTGGAAGACCACAGGAAGGCAGTGCAGCTCGCGCAGGAGAGGTGTTATATGTGAGCGTCCCGTTGCTCCCATAATCCCCCGCGTGGCCGTGTTCTGGACCAACTGCAGCCTCCGGGTGCACCCCAAGGGGAGCCCCATGTAGAGAGCATTGCAGTAGTCCAGGCGGGAAGTGATGAGTGCCTGAGTGACCGTGCGTAGGGAGTCCCGATCCAGAAAGGGACGCAACTGGCGTATCAGGCGAACCTGATAAAAAGCCCCCCTGGCCATGACCGTCATATGCTCTTCTAAAGACAGCTGTGCGTCCAGGAGGACGCCTAAGTTGCAAGCCCTCTCGCAACTTATAACTCGCAAAGTTATACGGTTGTGATGTGAATCTGGCTTCCCCACTGACTTTGCTTGCCAGAAGGTGGCAAAAGGTGATCACGTGACTCTGGAACACTGCAACCGTCGTAAATATGAGTCAGTTGCCAAGCGTCTGAATTTTTATCATGACCATGGGGATGCTGCAACGGGTTGTAAGTGTTGAAAACAATCATAAGTCAGGTGTTTCAGTACCGTCGTAATGTTGAACGGACACTAAATGAACTGCTGTAACCCGAGGACTACCTGTACTATAGTTTCTGATCAGCCACTTTAGACTGTGATTTATTAAATGGAGGCCAACTGATTGGTAGCCTCTAAGATTCTGCTCTCAACTTACACATAATGGGTGCTTTAAGTCAGATTGCTAATTTTTTAAAAGAGGCGCCCCTCTTTTAAAACATTGCCCAGCGACCTTCTTAGCATGTCCCGAAGGGCTGATTAACTTTATTGTCTTCTGTTTCTTCTTTAGTGAGCACTTGTCTTGCTCGTTCACCTTCTTCTTGCACGGGGACAGCAACGTTTGTACCAGCGTGGAAATAAACCAGCATCAACCTGTGTACTTCTTGAGTGAAGAACATCTCACCCTCGCCCAGCAGTCCAACAGTCCTTTTCAAGGTAGGGTTTGTTTGCCTGACTACGAAAATGGAATCCTTCTGTTTCCAAGCTTTAAATCAATATATATATATATATATATATATATAAGTAGGTTTTTTGTTTTCTTTTAACTTGAACATATCATCTTCCATTAAACAGTGTGTCGTATAGGTACAAATGCCTCTGTGCTATTACAGTCAAAATTTACAGTATTCGTTACATTGATAATCTCTAATTTTACAATAATAATAATCAGCATTATAACTCTATTCATTTCTCCCTCTTAACATATCTTCTACTGAAAATATAGTATTATATTAGATATAATAATCTTAACAATCATATTAATAATAATCATTGTTTACATCCCTATCTTAATATATGTTTTTTATTTCACTGACCTCCATTTCTCACTTCTATTTTTATTCTCCAACCATCCATAAAATAGCTCCCACATCATATAATATTCAATTTGTTCTTTCTCCTTTATAGTAAGCGTTAATCTGTTCATTTCTGCACATTCTAATATTTTCCTAATCACGTTCTCATCCATAGGGATCTCGTCACTTTTCCAATTTTGTGCAAATGCAATTCTAGCTGCAGTTAATACATGCATAATTAAATATGCATTTCCTTTACTATAAATTTCAAAATATTGTGTGGGTGGAGGGGGGAAACACAAGAGATGATCATACATTGGGAGAACACAGGATGAGTTTCAGATCCCCCCTCCCCCCGAACTTCAGTGCTTTGTATGACTTGTGCTTAAATTTTTTTTCATTTTGTCGAAGAAATTATCCATCATAGTAAATTTAAGCAGATGGTAGTGATTTGGGACTAAATGTGCTGTTTACTAAGATACTTTGTATTGAACACATGCTACAATATGTAGGATGCTGTGTTGTTTGTTTTACTTCAGTATCCTATTTCCTTCTGGAGGTAAAGTAATAAAAATCCGAAATAAATCCTGAAATAAAATGAATAATCATTAAAAAAAATCATTATAAATAGAAAAACAATCTGGACAGTGTCTAAAAGTTTGCTGGTCCTTGAAAATTGATATCATACAAGCATCTGTATGAACAAGGTTTTCTTTAACAGTTGCCTAATGAAAACACCTTAGGGCGAGTTGTACTTACAAAGGAGAATATTTGTAGCTCAAGGTTGAAATGAAGGGTCCTGGGTGGTCTTTGAGCTTGGTTGTTTTTTTGCAGATGTTTCATTATCAATCTAGGTTACATCATCGGTGTTAATAAGGGAATGGTGTTTTCAAACTGATGATGTTACCTAGTTCAGTAACGAAATGTTTGCAAGGAAACAGTCAAGCTCAGAGAGCACCAAGGACAACCCCCCCCAAGTTGTACTTCCCTCAGAAAAAAAATTCATAATTGGAGTGCCATCATTAAGTTGACCCCGCTGTTATGAACCAAATCAACTTCTGGGGGTTCAAGCAGTTAATTTTAATGCTGGGGAGGGGGGAGTTAGATGGAATTGAGGGGAGCAGTCTTTTAAATGTTTGAAGCCCGACAGATTAAATTGGGGCTCATAGGTCACAGGTAGAAACTTAATGCTCCATGACTGGCGTTTATCCTTCAAGACTGGTGTTGCCCTATGTAGCTTAACGGGGGTCTACACTAGTTGCAATTTCTAGACAGTTTCTAAATATAGCTGTACAAAGAATGTGCTGCACAAAATTATTTAGACATTGATCACTGAGGCTTGCCAGTTCAGTTAAACGTGCAAGTAGTATGTCAGTCAAAGGTGGGCATGGCTCCTCTTTGTGAGTGGTTGGCTGGGTTTGTAGCAATACTGTACCGGTAGTCCTTGGCTTATGACCATCCATTTGATGAAAGTTATGACAGCCTTGGAAAAAAAGGTGATTTACCACCTGTCCTCAATGTTACGACTGCTGTACCATCCCTGCTGTGCCATCTAATCGCAATTTGGGTGCTTGGCAATCGGCTCACGTTGATGCCTAGCTGCAGCGTCCCGTGGACATGCAATTGTGATCTGCAATCTTCTCAGCCGTTTTTCAAACAAGCAACATCCATTGGATGTTGCCAATTTGCCAGATTTGTTCAACACAGTTGTTGAACTTAACAACCGCAATAAAAATGGTCATGAAACCGAGTCTAGGGACACGATGATTCAGTTAATGATTGCATTACTTAGTGATCAAAATTCCAGTTGTAGGTCAGAGCTACTTGCATATTGAAACTAAGGATAAACTCTAAACTATGCATTGGTTATAGATAGTCCTTGACTTACAACCATTCATTTAGTGACCACTCAAAGTTACAACCGACACTGAAAAAAGTGACGTGATCTTTTCCACATTTACGCCCATTGCAGCATCCCCATGGTCATGTGATCAAAATTCAGATGCTCAGTAAAATATTGGTTCATATGTACGACGGTTGCAGAGTTCCGGGGTCATCTGATCATCTTATAAACAAAGCCAATGGGGATTCACTTCACAACCGTATTACTAACTTAATAACTGCAATGATTCATTTAACTGTAGCAAGAAACGTCATAAAATGGGACAAAATTCACCTGTCTTGCGTAGGAACAGAAATATTGGGCTGAATTGTGGTCGTAAATCGAGGACTACTTGTACTTTCTGTTGCATCTTATCTCAATCCAGAATAGGCCACTGTCCCAATTCCCAAGCCCGAGAACAACCTGTGATCGATACTTTTAGTTGTTTGTGGATACAGTTTGAATTCCTTGGCTCTCATTCAGCCTGCAACTGTCTCCAGGCAATTGTCAAGCACCTACACATTCCAGTAGGAAAGAGAGAGAATGTAATCTGCATACTGATGACACAGCAGTGCAGATCACTGGATCACCACCCCTGCTGACTTAATATAAACAGGAAAGAGAGAGAGAATAGAATTCTGTGGAATCCCACAAGGCAAAAAAACCCGAAGTTGAACAGAAATCTCCCAGTAACCGTGGCAGGTTTGCACACAGGAATGAAATGAACATCAGAAAAACGCAGTTGGAAGGCAGCTTGGAGGTCTTCTAGTCCAACCCCGCACATTTGAATCCACTGTATTGGCTTCCCTATAACACCCCCCCCCCCAAACTCAGCGATTTCATCGAGAGAACCAGGATAATCAAAAGAAACACGCCCTGTCTTTCTCCAAGTAAAATTCACCGGTTAGGACGATCAAAAGATGTTTGCGTGCTAAGTCCAGATTTGAAACAAGACTGGCTAAAGAATAGGCTTCTTACTACAGGTAGCCCTGGACTTACAACCATTTGTTTAGTGACCATCCAAAGTTACGACGACAATGGAAAAAGTTACTTCTGAGTCTTTTTCACACAACTATTGCAGCATCCTCAGGGCCATGTGATCAAAACTCAAGATGCTTGGCAACTGGCACGTATTTGTGACGGTTGCAGTGTGCCGGGGTCATTTTGTCACCTTTTGTGGCCTTTTGGCAAGCAAAGTCAAATAAATTTAATAATAATAAAATCAATGGGGAAGGCAGATTCACTTAACAATCATGTTAACTTCAGTAACTCACTTAACTGCAAGAAAGATTGTAAAATGGGGCAAGGCTCATTTAAGAACTCTCTTGCTTAACAACAGAAAATTTGGGGTCCATTGTGGTTGTAAGCTGAGAACTACCTGTATTCGTTTCCCCTCCTTCCTTTGGATAAGTCTGTGTGGAGAGAGTACAGGCAGTTCTCAACTTACAAACCATTTCATTTAGTGACAGTTCAAAGTTACAAGGCTACTGAGAAAAGTGACATGACTGGTCCTTATGCTTACAGCCATTCCAGAACCCCACAGTCATGTGATCAAAATTTGGATGCTTGTCAATCAGCATTTATTTATGACAGTTGCAGTATCCCAGGGTCATATGATCACCATTTGCAACCTTCTCATCTGGCTTCCAACAAGTCAATGGGTGAAGCTGGAAATTCTGATCCTAATTGTGGTTGTAAGTCAAGGACTATTTATATAAGGTGTTTCTGGAGTGGGAAGGTAAGCAGAAGAAGAAGAGGAAACCACAATTGAAGTGATCATCAGTGGCAGATGTGGAAGTACTAAACATTGAATGACAAAAAGATCCAGCCACCCTATTGTTCAGACGTAGGGGATTTGGGACCGATTCAGTTGTGTCAAATTCTCTGTTTTCTCAATCAATCAGATTAGAGCTAGAAGGGACCTTGGAGGTCTTCTAGTCCAACCCCATGCTCAAGCAGGAGACCCTATACCAGGGCTGTCAAACTTGCAGCCCACAGGCCGGATGCATTACACGCTGGGCATGCCTATACCCGGTTTAGTGAAAGGAAAAAAAGTCCTGATACGTCACGTGATGCTGTTTGACACCCCTACCCTATACCATTTCAGATAGGCGCTTGTCCAATCTCTTCTTAAAAGCCTCCAGTGATGAAGCACCCACAACTTTTGAAGGCAACTTCTGTTCCATTGGTTAATTGTCCTCACTGATAGGAAGTTTCTCCTTAATTCCTGGTTGCTTCTCTCCTTGATTAGTTTCCATCCTTTGCTTCTTGTCTTGCCTTCAGGTGCTTTGGGGAAAAAAATGACCCTCTCTTCTTTGTGGCAGCCCCTCAAATACTGGAATACTACCAACATGTCCTTCCTAGTCCTTCTTTTCTCTAGACTGCCCATACCCAATTCCTACAACCGCTCTTCATATGTTTTTGTCTCCAGGCCTTTAATCATCTTAGTTGCTCTTCTTTGCACTTTTTCCAAAGTCTCAACATCTTTTTTGTAATGTGGTGACCAAAACTGGATGCAATATTGCAGGTGTGGCCTTACTAAGACTTTATAAAGCAGTACTAATACATACTTCACGTGATTCTATGAGTTTATACAACCAAGGATTGTGTTACTTTTTTTGGCCGCCGCCGCACACTGCTGGCTCATGTCTAAATGATCTCAGTGCAGCAGTATTCCAAATTGAGGGGCAGGAGAATGGGATTAATGTGATCGATACAAATACCATCTTGTTACCCAGAAAGATGAACTTGGGGAATTTGAATTTGACATTGGATCAGTGACAAGTTTGAGGACCCATCCATGCTGCTGTCTAACAGCTTTCCACTGATCTGACATAGTGTGATTACGGTACTAAGTTTGGTGTTGGGAAACCCCAAGTCACTGTGTCTGGAAGACTTTCCACATTTTGAAGCGGCTTAACTGGTTTGGCTCTGCAACCCAACAAGACAGACACAGACTTCAGAGGATAATTAGAACTGCAGAAAAAAACAATGGCTACCGACCTGCCTTCCATGGAGGACCTCTATACTGCACGAGTCAAAAAGAGGGCTGTAAAAATATCTACAGACCCCTCCTATCCTGGACATAAACTGTTTCAACTCCTACCCTCAAAACGACGCTATAGAGCACTGCACACCAAGACAACTAGACACAAGGACAGCTTTTTTCCTGAATGCCATCACTCTGCTAAACAACTAAATCCCACAACACTGTCAAATTAACTACTAAGACTGTATTACTGTTATTCTTCTCATTCTTATTAGTACCTATCTCTTCCCACTTATGGCTATATCCATGTTGCTTGTATCTTTACAACTTATATTGATTTATTTAATTTCCTAGTATGATTTTGATTGCCTATTTAGTATCCTATGACTATCACTAAGTGTAATATCTTATGATTCTTGATGAATGAATTTTTTTATGTACACTGAGAGCTTATGCAACCGAAGACAAATTCCTTGTGTGTCCAATCACACTTGGCCAATAAAGAATTCTTATTCTTATTTCTTGGACTCCATGCAGTGATGGGTCTTTCTTAAACTAGTAATGTATCAACATGGAGCACACCTTGACTTTTTTGGTTTGTTTGGATTTCACTATTCAGTGACTGGTTGTGGGAGGCCAGTTACACCTTTGGCACGATCTGCTGAAGTTTGATCTTACGACAGGTGCCTCCTTCTGTGCGGGTGGATACCCCATTAAAATAGTCCACCCAGAGATTTAGGTAATCCGATGGGATTCTTAAATGCTGTGGGAAATTTTTCAGGTAAGATTGCAGTCTTGGTGACCTGTGGAATAAAGAAAGAAAATGGCCCATTAAGGTGCTTTTCTGAGGAGTTTTTTTGCATTGGCATTCTTAGGAGACAGCTGGCGTGTGAGTGATGTAATAAGACTTGGCCAGAAAATGCTGGACATGCTTCAGAATGTATAATCATTTCCCTGTCTTTAAGAAAATATTTCTCCCGAGGCACACACATTCATCTTCTTGGTCTAGTTTTTTTTGGCTATTAATGTATAATCTACAATTGTTCACCCCGTTTTCACTGTCAAACAGAAGTCCCTTGCCTTTAATTTATAATTTTCAGATGAGCATTACCATGCAGTCTGTCTATTTCAATCAAACCGTTCAGGATCTCTTCCAACAGTGCACCGTCCAAAATTCTATAATTCAAGCCTGTAACATGATCGTGCATTTTCTTTAAAACAACGGAGATAAAATAAACTTACTTGCTCACATGCTTAAGCTTCTCAGTGAACCAGGTGCACCATTTGGATTGAAAACGTCTTGCACCATCACTTCTCTCAGCCAGATTTAGAGCCCCTGTTCATTTCCTCAAGACCAACAGGATCAAAGCCAGCCCAGATAACCAAACCAGGGCATGCATCACTCAACTCCGCAGGACCTGCCTCAAGGCCAGAGTCCAATGGGGAAGGAATCTGAGTGACTTTATCCGCGAGGTGTCTAACATATTTCTCACCATTTCACTGGCTCCCAGTTTGCTTCCAGGCACAATTCAAGGTGCTGCCTATTGCACATAAAGCCCTAGAGGGGAATTATTTGTAGCTCAGGGTTGAACTGTGAGGCCCCTTGATGGTCTCTGAGCTTGCTGGTTTTCTTGCAGACATTTCATTGCCCAACTAAGTAACATCACCAGTGCTATAGGGAGTGCTATATTCATTTTATATAAATAGAGAGCAAACCCCGCTCCCTTCTAGCACTGATGAGGTTACCTAGTCTCCTCATGATTGGCCCAAAGTCACCATCCAGTTTTCATGGCTAAGGTGGAATTAGAACTCACCATGTGTTGGTGATTAGCCCAGATCCAGCCTAAGTTCATGACTAAGGCGGGACTAGAATTCACCATGTCCTGGTGATTAGCCCAGAGTCACCCAGCTGGATTTCATGGCTAAAGTGGGACTTGAACTCCTCATGTCTCTTGCTTTCTAGCTTGGTGCTTTAACCATTAGACCAAACTGGCTCTTCATACTAAGTCTTTGTTAGCCACCCCAGAGTACCATTAATGGGATGAGGAGTGGCCACATAAAACAAAATAAGTAAAACAATGATTTTTTGTTTGTATTGAAAATCTTGAATATTGCTGTTAGAATTTACATTAACAGCCAAAACGTCTTGATGACAGTAAATGGGGCTCGGTCTATTTCTAAAGTGATTTTGAACATATTTTTGACAGTTCTTATATGTTTAGGTTAAAAAAAATGTGTTCAGCAACTTTTCCACTGTATCTGTGTGAAGTATTCTAACTATTGAAATGTATCTTTCCTAACATTGGTTAATGTACTTTCAGAGACCATCCTTTTATTATTAGGCTGGCCTTCATTCATGAAAAAAATCAAACTCTGACTTTATAGCATCCTGCAGTATTGACTTCAATACATTGTTCTTGTTTTTTTTATTTTAAATTACCAAGTGGTATACCAGAATATTGTTTCCATTCTTGATTTATTTTAATGAGTTTCTGTGTCAGATGTTCAGAAGGATTAATTTCTAGCTGTTGTTATGGAACATGATTCTTATATAACATACTGTTTTAGTACACATACATTTTAATGAGGGACAATAAGTCCTTGTCCTGAAATTGCCAGTAATCAGTAGCTCTTTATTGAAACTCAGCTTTCCTTCTAATACAAATAGGGCATTCAGTTATTAATTCCTGAGATATTAACTTTTTGTAGTAGTTTCGGATCTTGTCAGAGTTAACTGATTATCCATAACATTAAACCATGATTTAGAGTTAAAAACTAGTAGACACAAACTTGTCTTCTTATCCCATTCTTTCCTTGCATATCAACATTAAAAATGGTTCAATCTCTTTTTTTTTTTCTCTGAAATTTGGAAAGTTGCATAAATAATGATTTGTTGCTCACAAATTATAGTTGCATTTGCAGATAAACTCAGACTGGCTTTTAAAAACATGCAAATGTTCATGAAAGGGTTAAATAAAGCAGAGCGACCCATGTTTAAAGTTTTTGGGATCAGGGGAAGTGACATCTCTAATAGACAGGACAAATTAGTGCAAGTAGTCTTTGACTTCCCAACATTCATTTAGTGACCGTTTAAAATTACAATGGCACTTGCGACTGATCTTTGTACTTATGACTATTACAGCATCCTGATGGTCACATGATCATAATTTGGACACTTACAGCATGTATAGGTAATCCTCAACTTAAGAATAGTTCATTTAGTGACCATTCAAAGTTACAACAGCACTGAGAAAAGTGGCTTACGACCATTTTTCACACTTGCAACCCTTGCAGCATCCCAATGGTCCACATGATCAAAATTCAGATGCTTGGCAACGGACTCATATTTATGACGGTTGCAGTGTTCTGAAGTCACGTGATCACCATTTGCAACCTTCTGACAAGCAGAGTCAAGAGGGAAGCCCGATTCCCTTAATCATTTCAGTGATTCATTTAACAACCGTGGCAGGAAAGTTTGTAAAATAAGGCAAACTCACTTAACAACTGTCTCAATTAGCAACAAAAAGTTTGGGCTCAGTTGTGGTCGTAAATCAAGGATTACCTGTCTAACATTTGTAGGTCTCTTAATTCTCTTAATTTCCCAAAAGGGCTTGCGCAAAGTGGTGATAGGACCTACATTATTATCAAACTCTGTTCAATTTTCGAAGAGATGACGTTAGTCAAAGAGAGAACTGGCTCTACACCCAGTATCTTTTGCAATCGCCTAATTATGCTGATTTTTTTTTATCCTGTCCTCTTTTGCAGGCTTAGGTAATGATACTCCTTTGTATAAATATTCTAAAAGGGAACGTTTCACTCTTAAGCCTCTCTTCGATGTTCAACTTTAGCTGCTGAAAGCCATTTTAATAAGAATTGTATGCAACCCTTCGGGGAAAATACCATTTGGCATGCCTCCAAAAATAGATATTTCGGTGAGATAGTCTCGAGGAAGTTTTCATTGGAGAAAACCATCATGATTCCATCAGCAGTCTTTGGACATATGATCCGAGTTTAATTATTGCTGCTCTAATGTGAAATTTTTTTCTCTCTCTGTCGTCTAACTTCTAGTTATTCTGAGTCCGTTTGGATTAAATGGTACACTCACGGGGCAGTCGTTCAAGCTGTCAGACTCTGCTACGAAGAAGCTGATTGGCGAATGGAAGCAGTTCTATCCAATCACGTCCAACTTGAAAGAGGGACTGGAAGAAAAGCAGGAAGAGATGGATTGGGAAGATGACTCTCTAGCTGCTGTGGAGGTCCTTGTTGGTATGGCCTTTTAAAAATGTTTTCCAAAAATGAACCTCTATTTGAATACCGTGTTTCCCCAAAAATACGACCTATCCCTAAAGTCCTAGCTTGATTTTTACACGTGCGCCCAATATAAATCCTACCCCCAAAATAAGTCCCTGCCCATTCCAGAGTGCACGGGTAAAAATTAAGCTAGGGTGGGGATATGGGGTGGTGGAGGTGCCCTACTACTTACCTTTGGACAGTTGCAGCCAGGCCTCTCACACCTCGACACCTGCCTTGCCGGCCCATTTCTTCTGCAGCCGGCAAGGCTTTCCTAAAGGCCTCTGCAGCCGATAAAAGAGCTCTGGATCGATCCGGAGCTCTGTTGTCGGCTACAGAGGCCTTCAGGAAGGCCTTGCTGGCCGCAGAAGAAGTTCCTGAAGGCCTCTGACAGCGAAAATGAGGTCAGGCAGTGGTGGGTTCCTCCCGGTTCGGCCCGGTTCTCCCGAGCCGGTAGCGGTGACGATATGATGTCACCAAGCTGGTTCTGCCCCCCCGCCCCCCGTCCCCCATGTTGTTCTTACCTTTTATTTGGCCCCACCCCCAATCTATTGCTGCCTCCTGAGTCCCAGCTGATGGCTAGAGGGAAAAAAACTGTTTAAATTCTTGCCGCAAGGCTTCAAAGGGCCGCCCTACAGCTGATCAGTGTTAAAAGAAAACAAATGAGTAGACCGGTGCCTGCAAAAATAAATGGGTAGACCAGTGCCTGCTAAAAATAAATGGGTAGATCGGTACAGCTCTGCAAGCAGCTAAAAGCCTGGTAGACCAGTACCTCTGCTAAATCCTAAATAATTGTCAATGACCATCAAGCCACACCCACAAAATAAGCCACGCCCACAGAACCAGTAGTAAAAAATTTTAGACCCCACCCCTGAGGTCGGGGATGACATGCGCAAGTGAGATGAGTCAGTGGACGACATTTCTCTCCCCTCCACCCCCACCCCAATAATAAAACCTGGTGCCTTTTTGGGTGGCAGAAAAAAATATAAGACAGGGAAATGTGGTAGTTGCCTGTAATCCTTATTTTCAGGGAAACATGGTAGTTGCCTGTAGTCCTCAACTTACAACAGTTCTTTAGTGACCGTTCGAAGTTACAACGGAACTGAAGAATGACGTATCACCATTTTTCACAATTACAACTGTTGCAGCATCCCCTTGGTCATGTGATCAAAATCCAGAGGCTTGGCAACTGACTCATATTTATGACAGTTGCAGCATCCCGGGGTCCCGTGATCCCCTTTTGCGGCCTTCCAACAAGCAAAATCAATGAGAAAGCCAGATTCACTTCACCACCGTGTTACTAACTTAACAACTGCAGTTGATTCACTTAACAACTGTGGCAAGAAAGGTTGTTAAATGGGGCAAAGCTCACTCAACAAATGTCTCACTTTGCAACAGAAAGTTTGGGCTCAATTGTGGTTGTAAATTGAGGACTACCTGTAGTTATAAAACAATGAACATCATTTTAGGATGGTCTATAGAAGCATCAAATGTCCTGCCACGGAATAGCAAATTATCATAGTCTGTGTTTGCGAAAGTTACGGACACTTAAGATCAATGGGGATTTTTGCAGCAATTCAGGTGGTTAAGAAGCAAGGGTATTGATTCAGAAATATGCTTATCAGTACATGTAATCCTCGATTTACGACTCTAGTGGAGCTTTCCCATAACGGTTGTTAAGTCATGAGAGCTATAAAGTGGGTCATCAAGTGACCGGATCCAATTTTATGGCTTTTTTTGTGGCAGTCGTTAGATGAATGCAGTGATCGTAAAGTGAACCCCTCAGTCGTAAAGTGAATCCATTGTTTCCCATGGGGCGTTTTTTTTGCTGAAAACTGGAAGAAAATGCCAACCATGGCACGGGGGCCGTGGCTACTGCCATCAGAATTTTGGAACCGGGGTTTTGGTGGGTCTATTATAACTATGAATGGTTGCTAAGTGGCCAGTCATAAGTCAAGGACTACCTGCAACTTCAACAGGGGGTTACAGAGATCTGTCCAGAAAAGCACCTGAGTTTTCCATTTTTTAAAAAAATATCAGATTACATATTCCTGTATTCTGAAGCAGAAACCTTCTTGCAAATAGCTGTTGGGTGACTTGCAACCCATCATGGCAGCCTTTTTGTGAGGACACACAACATGCTGTTACCTACCTACCTCTTCTCTGGAGCTATCTTAGTCAAGAATTGTGTCATAAACACACTGATTTAAGAGCTGTTAATTGCCTGCTGAAAATAGCAGTTGTTTTTTAGTCCCTGCCTGCTTACTTGCATGGATATGTAATTCATGAAAGCTTCTGCAATAATAAATTAATTACACACCACATTACTGTTCGTTGTATAAATAAATCCCTGGGCTCTGAGTCTATATTATGTTTTTAATTTTAACTGGAATTAGAATTGCTTTAAAGGTAGTATTAGGAGAACTTAAAGGCTTTGCCAGAAAAGAGCACAATAAGAATGAGGAGCAAACTGTAAAATAGAAAGCAATATAATAGATTTTGGCAAATTACGGTAAGTCTAAAATAGCCATTCAAACAAGTCTTTTAGGAAGGGAACTGGATGTTAGTTGAGTCCAGTTATCTCATAGAACCTCTCTGCGGGCACGGGAGCCGTCACTCAGCTCAGCTCCACCCCGCATGCGCGCGTGAGTCCCACCGGCCAGCTGTTTTTCAGGCCTCTGCTGTGCATGCATGTGGCCCCAGTGCATACAGGAGACATGCATGCATGTTGGGGGGGGGGAATGTGCCCGACACCCCCCCTCCCCGGCCTGTTTTGGGCCTAGCAGGCCTCTCTGCAGTCTCCTGGGACCAAAAATGGGCTGCACGCACTTTCGGCACATGACGACAAAAAGGTTAGTCATCACTGTCATAGATGATTCAAAATTTTGTTTGCTAATATAAATATAGGAAGAAAGATGAACTCTAAAAGAGGATCAGTATTTTAATTTCATTTTTATGGTTAAATATTGTTATTTAATCCTAATATTGACTGTTTGATTTCACTATTATGACAATAAATATTTGTTAGATACGCCTTGAGTTACAACCTCAGTTGAGGCCAAAATTTCCGTTGGTAAGCAAGGCGGTTGTTAAGTGAGCCCTATCCAATTTAACAACATTTTTGCCATGGTTGCCAAGCAAATAGTTGCAATTGTTCAGTGAATCATGCAGCTGTTAAGCAAATCTGGCTTCTTCCATTGACTTTGTTTGACAGAAGTTAGGTGGGAAGGTCACAAATGAATTCCCAAATAAGGGGCCAGAGAGTAAGACTCTGTGTCCGGAAGAAGAGAAATTAGTTCTCCGAGTGAAAAAAAATATTATTAATAAAACTCATAACACACACAACAAACATCTGCATGAAATTGCAAAAGGAAAAAAAAAAGCTTGTAAATATACAGTTGCAAGAAAAAGTATGTGAACCCCTTGGGATTACGTGGAGTTTTGCATGAATTGGTCATAAAATGTGCTCTGAACTTCATCTAAGTCACAACAATAGAAAAACACAGTCTGCTTAAAATAATACTACACAAACATTAGATGTTGACATGGTTTAATTGAACATAACATGTAAACAATCACAGTGCAGGGAGGAAAAAGTATGTGAACCTTTGGACTTAATAACTGGTTGATCCTCCTTTGGCAGCAATAACCTCAACCAAACGTTTCTTGTAGTTGCAGATCAGACCTGCACAACGATCTGGAGTAATTTTGGACCACTCCTCTTCACAAAACTGTTTCAGTGTAGCAATATTCTTGGGATGTCTGGTGTGAATTGCTCTCTTAAGGTCATGCCACAGCATTTCAATCGGGTTGAGGTCAGGACTCTGACTGGGCCACTCCAGAAGGCGTATTCTGTGCTGTTGAAGCCATTTTTTTGTTGAATTAATTGTATGCTTTGGGTCATTGTCCTGTTGCATCACCCATCCTCTGCGGAGCTTCAGTTGGCAGACAGATGGTCGTACGTTTTCCTGCAAAATGTCTTGATAAACTCTGGAATTCATTTTCCCATCAATGACAACAATCCGTCCAGACCCTGAGGCAGCAAAGCAGCCCCAAACCATGATGCTCCCTCCGCCATGTTTTACAGTGGGGATGAGGTTTTGATGTTGGTGTGCTGTGCCTTTTTTTCTCCACACATAGTGTTGTGTGTTCTTCCCAAACAACTCAATTTTGGTTTCATCTGTCCACAGTATATTTTGCCAGTAGTGCTGTGAAACATCCAGGTGCTCTTTTGCAAACTTCAAACGTGCTGCAATATTTTTTTTGGACAGCAATGGCTTCCTCCGTGGTGTCCTCCCATGTACTCCATTCTTGTTTAATGTTTTCCTTATTGTAGATGTGTCAACAAAAATGTTAGCATGTGCCAGAGATTTCTGTAGGTCTTTAGCTGACACTCTAGGATTCTTCTTTACCTCGTGAAGCATTCTGCGCTGTGCTCTTGCAGTCATTTTTACAGGACGACCACGCCTAGGGAGAGTAGCAACAGTGCTAAACTTTCTCCATTTGTAGACAGTCTGTCTTACTGTGGACACATGAACATCAAGGCTTTTGGAGATACTTTTGTAACCCTTTCCAGCTTCATGCAAGTCAACAATTCTTGATCATAGGTCTTCTGAGAGCTCTTTTCTGCGAGGCATGGTTCACATCAGACAGTGCTTCTTGAAACCAGTAAACCCAAAACAGGTGTGTGTTTTTAAAGGGCAGGACAGCTGTCAGCAACACATCCAATATCATCACTGATTGGAGTCAAGGTTGGCTCACTCCTGGCTCCAATTAGCTCTTGGAGAAGTCATTAGGCTAGGGGCTCACATACTTTTTCCTCCCTGCACTGTGAATGTTTACATGTTATGTTCAATTAAACCATGGCAACATCTAATGTTTGTGTAGTATTATTTTAAGCAGACTGTGTTTTTCTATTGTTGGGACTTAGATGAAGTTCAGAGCACATTTTATGACCAATTCATGCAAAACTCCAC